TCTTTTCCTGTAAGGTATGGTTGGAATAGGAATTTTTTTTTTTGCTGGGGTTAGGGGATCAGCCTGGCTGTGATAGGTATGTGGGCCTTCAGCCTACGAAGACAGCCTCACACTGCATGGAAGGCTGGCCACAGATCAGGCAGCGGGAGTAGAACAAATCTCGAAATCAACCGATAAAAATGATAACCTTCAGTCAGGAAAAGGTTACCATGATACCATAGATAACAATACACTGTCCAAGACAACATTACAATATAGTGAACAAAAACGCGCGCGCGCACACGAAAAGATCACAGGTAACTACCCTGAACAGCGGGTAAAATACACGAGAGGCAGCATTTGCCTCCCTTAGGAATAAATAAACAAACCAGTTGTCAAACACAGTATTAATCATGTCAAAAATATACCCCATACGAGACGTAAGATGGTGGACGTCGTAGTATCACCTATTGCGTGCCTTAAGTTTGAAGTGGTTTTGTCTAACCGGAAGTATTCGAGCCTTGGCATCCCATCCTTAACAATGCTTAATTAGTCAGAGAAAGCCTCGTCAATGGTGTTCATTTTAATAGTTCACTGGAATTTAGATGATGTGGCCGACAACATACAAAATGGAGTACATGATGTGTGAATATAGGTAAAGTAGTGAGGACTGGTGACCTTGCAGCAGCACACCCCCCCATCTTCAGACCCCAGTGAACCACCGACCCCCCTCTTCCCCCCCTCCATGCCTGACAAATACCGATGAAGGTAATACTCAAACAACACTCCAGTAAATATAGCGTGCACCTTCAAGATTATCCTTCAGATAATAATTATTTAGCCAGGTGGTTTTGTGAGTCATCAAGGGCTCTGTGAGGTTCAAACTTGGCAAGATATGTATGTGTGTATTTTAAACACACTCCAGGTTTTTATCATACGTCTGGCCAGCTTGAGTGTATCGTGATCGTACCTTCATAGTTTCACAGCTTTCATCAAAATTCTATATTTTCATGGGAAATAGAGCATTTTCATGGGTAACTCAAGATCTAATCTTTCATCATTGTACACGTGTTTCCTTACTTATACTGGATTTTGATATTTTATAAATTTCTTCACTAATTTCTTCACGAGAAAAAGATATACTTTGATTACATTAATCTAGCTAATATCCCTTTAAGCATTAGCTCAGGAAGTCTTATTTCATAACTAGATGGAGTACCTAGTAGTGTCCAAGTCTCTCCTTCCTTTCCCCCTCTCTACACTCTTCCCTCCTCTCTGTCCTCTCACCTCTCTCCACACTCTTCCTCCTTCCCTCTTTCCACACTCTTCCTCCTCCACCTCTCCCCTTCTCTTTCCTTCCCTTCCTCCCTCCCTCTCCTTTCTCAACATTCTCCCTCCTTCCCTCCCTCTTCTCTCTCCACATTCTCCCTCCTCTCCCTCTCCTCTCCTGTCCACTTTCTTCTCCCCCCTCTCTGTTCTCGCCTCTCCCTCCCCTCTCTCCCCCTCCTACCCACTCTCCAATGAAGTCAGAGACATAGCCTGGTCTGGGCCCAACGTAGCCCATCCTTCCAACAATCTGACTCTGGGGACCTGGTCACCCTCCCCATAAGTCTGAGAAGGGAAAACAGGGTCTAAAGTAAACGAACAAACTGATTAAGACTTCACTGCCCAGCACCTCCATCCACCACAGAGTGCACAAGGGGCAAGCATCCTCAGGTGTAACCGGAACAGCATACATGGGTCACCATTGCAGGGCCGAATGGCATCCCAGGGGGGTCGAATAGAGGTATCAACACTACAATGTCTACTTGACCCGATGTTTTAACTGGTCAGGACTAAACAAACGAGCCGATTGGTTCAGGTGGGTCGCACTGAACCTCCCATTTTACCTCTGTCACTTCACTAAAGGAGCGTGCCGTGACCACCCCCCCCCCTTTCCCAGGTCACAACCTCTAGGTAGGCTTAACTCCCAAATGAAGGAACATGTATGGGTCTCCATGCCCTGCTAACACACACACAGGTATAATTCGTTTGTGTGCTACCAGAGCAGGCAGGAGAAGGGAGCAGGAGCCATCCCCTTCTACTGAAAGACAGCACAGATTAGCCCCCCCCTTCCCCCTCACATCAAGGCAACACACATTGAGGGGGAAAGACCAGTTAAATGAATCCAACAGCGGATCTTCAGGCTGTTCACTACTTTCCCTTGTATATCTCCCTACATCTGTCTTTGAATAATTTTTGGGTGCTGACAGCAGCAGGACAAATTTACACAAGTGTAAATTCACTGCCATTTCAAATACTTTCAGTTTTGTTTTTGTCAAAACCCACCCTGCAAACACCCAACACAACAGTCCCTATGATTTCCTTGTTACAACTTGTAATAAACTTTTTACATCTTGTTATAACATTTTTATTACGTACTAGAATGTTGTTACAACTTCTGTATTGTTTGTTACAATTGTTAGGTGTTAAACTTGTTCGAACGATGTAGCAACGTCGTAGTTTCATTGTGTGTTTGGTGGGCATAGACGTAGTACAGTATCATGCATGATATGGAATTCCATTTTGGGAATTCATCATGGAGAGCAGACTAAACTGCTTTGCAAATATAAAAAATGGAATCAGGCTTTGGCTAGATCAGTGTTGAAGCCAATGCTTCTGCTAATTTCTCACCCCTAAAGCCTGCAAGGATTTGGAGCGAGTGCTGGAAGGGATAAGGAATATTTACTGTACAGTATATTATCTGGTGTTAATGCCCTAATGCCTGTCTGTATACTTATCCACAAAATGTTGGTCTCTGGGTTTTGACACGTGCATCATAATCAATAAATTCGGTTGAGTTAAAAATAAAAAGTAGGTGCGTCACTGGTAGAGAATAAGGACAAGAATAGCTTGAAATGCGCTCAAAGTGCTGGCGGGTGTGACGGGCAATGAAGCGGGTTATGTTATAGTCTCTCTACATAGCTCAACTGCCCATCATCCTCCCCCCCCTCCCTACCATTCTGATTTAAGATACCCAGCTTCTCACCTATTTGTGCCTGTAGGGCAGAGTTTAATTTAATTTGTTATATCTACTTTTTTAAAGTGTGGATAGAATTGCATTTACTATCTCTAATTTAGTTCCATTTTCTTATTATTTGCGCTGAAAAAAAAAACAATTTTTTCATATCTCTCTGGCTTATCTGTATCTAGCTTGGCTTCCATCCATGCCCTCTCATTCTATTAGTATTTATTGTAAACATGTCTGTTCCTTTTCCCTCTATCTATTGCTTTCATTAGGATCAGACTCGCTCCTTCAAATGCTCATTGTACCTATTCCCTATGGAAAACCTCATTGCAGCTCTCTCTTCTTTTCAAAGTTATCTAATGTGTTTTTTTGAGTTGAGGACTCCATGTGGGAACTTTGTACTGTTTAACCTGCTTGGTGGTGATGGCGTGAATGTCGCTTCCATAATCTTCCTGAAGACTTTGTGGTGTTCTCCAATGTAAAATATTTCACAAACATCACACTGTAATGGATAGAGCCCAGAGGATTGGGAGAGGCTTTGATGGAAATGGGATGATTTAAAGACTTTAGGGAAGAATGCAGACCATCATCATGGAAGAGTATTGAAAAAACACATACCTTGTGGTGGTTCTGAGTATCAACGTTTCTGAGGCCCTATTTGGGGCTATTCCTTAAATGACCCACCTACACTCATCCCTAACACAGGCACATTTGTTTTCTCTCCCACTCCACACACAACTGCAAACAAAGACTGGTACAGTACATTCTCACTTATGCTTATGCATAAGTGAGCATAAGAAATATTGTGGGAACAACCGTGGACATCTTCAAGATAAAACTAGATAGTTTTCGTCAAGGAGTGCAGGACCAACCAGGCTGTGGTGGATATGGGGGCCTGCGGGCCCCTCCAAGCAACAGCCTGGTGGACCAAACTCTCACAAGTCAAGCCTGGCCTCGGGCCGGGCTTGGGGAGTAGAAGAACTCCCAGAGCCCTATCAAGCAGGTATCACAGTCACTGCAGGGAAAACCATTGGTACATCCCCACACCCACTCCATGAAAGTATTATGGAAAGTATTGGCCTAGCAAGAGCAAAGTTATGCCACAACAAACCCAATAATGGGTGCCTGTTCCACCTAATGATAAGCTCTGACAATGAGTATCCAAATAGTGTACTGGTCTCAAAACTAGCCATTAAATCCATACATAAGAGATGGGGAAGGGAGGTCTTGTCATCTGGTTTCTGACCAGAAGAAAGACTACACAAGCAGCAATCAGTGGTCATCCAACCTATCAGACAAGTGGTGTTTGCTTCCTGTTGCCAAGTAAAAGTTATACCATAAATCTTAGAGTAGAAAACTTGAAGCTAGATCAGCCGATTCCGCTACCAAGACAGGAGAGAAAATTGGGAAAGGACGGAAGCCTTCTTATCTACTGCGGGGAGGAAGAGGGGGAGAGCCCTATAGGACACAGGTGGTGTCCTATAGGAGAGACTGATATGAGAAATGGCAGTGCATAAGTATTGTATATGGGACAAAGATCAGTGTAAGGATATGAAGGATGGGGCTTATAGTTAGCAGCATAAAGATAATGCCGTACTGGGGGTGAATGCAAATGTTGAAATGTTGGCATGGAGGGCTACATAAGATTTTGTAATCATAGTTAGGCTTGTAAGACTGCACTTTGAACCTAACTGCTTAGTGGTGAATGATCCTTGGACATAAGAGCTTGCCAGAATAATACATTACTGTACTTTAAATGAATTTCATTGTTAAGTTTCCTAATTTGGGCTAGTAATTCAAATACCAACCATGTGCTGAAGTAATTGATGGTAACAAATATACATGTTGATAAATATTGTTTGGGTCTTACTGCTACAGTAGTTATAGGTATATGTTATACATTACATCTTTTATGTGATAAAAATTGTGTTCTACAAGTGTTAACATGTTAATTCTTTTATGTGTGCTGTTTGATTTATGAAATATGTTTTGAAGTTTGTGAACTTATTGGCAGATGCGGCAGCGAGAGTGTGAGAGTGGAGGTGGCGGGGAGGAATCGAGACCCCTGAGTGATGCCTCCTCCTGCTGCGATCCCTCAGATACTGCTGTCAAGTTCCGTGAGAAGGCAAGAACTCAGGTTAGTTCATATCTGAAAAAAAAAGATATATATATTGGCCCATATTGATTTGTACTGTATATATATTTACTGTCCTACATATATTATTTTCTATGCCTTGCATATAATTATACAGTACTGTAGTTTCACTACCATACAACATACACATACATATACAGTATATAATAGTGATCATTAATTAATATATATATATATATATATATATATATATATATATATATATATATATATATATATATATATATATATATATATATATATATATATATATATATATATATTATAATACTGTATAATATAATATAGATATAGATAATCACTATGAACTCGTTTTGACCTGATCCGTGTAAGATCATCCAAACGAATACAGTATATGATCATCACTTTTTCTGTCATAAACTTATTTGCTGTACTCTTGTAAATGTTATCAAATCCTTACAGGCCAAAGGTCATCTACAGATTGTCTAATCTCATTTTGGTGTTTCTCTAAATTATGAGCCCCCTTGTGCTCTTAAACATACTGGCTGAATGTGGTATACTATTCCACACAAGCTTCATATACAGTATTTCATCTTCTCCCAGCTCCTGTAAAAGATATTCCAGATTTATCATGCAGTATTGAATCCATTACAAGAATATAAATTATACTTTTTGCCCACAGCAACGACCTCTGACGAGATACCTGCCTGTGCGTAGCGAACAGCACTTTGATCTCAAACAACACATCGAGTCTGCCGGCCACCAAATTGAACTTTGCCCTTACATAATTGTCACATCAACTGCATGCCGAGGTTATCTTCATAAACTAGGGTCAAAGTTCCGCACATGGCATAAAAGATGGTTTGTGTTTGATCGGTCAAGACGGGCGCTAACATATTACAGTGATAAGAATGAAAACAAGGCACGGGGTGGTGTATACTTCCAAGTAAGTATGATTATTTTATTGTTGCTGTGTTCTTGATTGAGATCTGATGCATTTATTACCAGATTATGACTTGTATACAGTACTGTACATACTTGAGGCAATCTGAATACAGTACAAAGGAAAATTCCAAGACACCTGATAATTTAACATCAAAATGGAATGGGTATTAAAAATAATTTTTTGGTCTTAACAGCTATATACAGTAATGTCATTGTCAGCTATATCTGCACCTGAAGAAAACAATAATTTGCACCTTCCCCCCCTCCCCCCCCACACACACAACTCCACTCACTACCTTCAGTACATTTTACACAACAGGCAGCAACCAAAGACATAATTTAAACATTTGTATTAATTTTATTGTAGAAACTTTGTGCTAAGCTGTAGTTCTTGAATGAAGGTGAAAGAAAGACCCAATATATATGTGTTAGTGTATTAAAAACCAAATACAGTGGCCTATCCGTTTACGAATTTAATCCGTTCCCAGATACGGTTTGTAAGCCGAAAATTCACAAATGAATTTTCTCATAAGAAATACTGTAATGTAAATTGAGTTAATTCATTCCACATGCCCAGAAATATTAACTTCAAAATACATTTCACACCTAATTCACACAAATATTTAGTACTATAGTATGTACAAGGTATAGCTTACTTTTATTGATGAATCTTGTTGGCGTATGGAAGATGGTGAGGAAGGGGGAGGAGGAGGAGAGGTGTTAGTGTTTAGAAGGAAAGTTCCCTTCCCATATAACATCAGGCAGTGATGACTTCTGTGGTTAAGGACTCACCATAGCCCGTGCTACTTTGAACTTTTTGTTCCGAGTAGCTGAATCTAAAACAACAACAACTACTACTACTTCTCTGGGGAATTCTCTCTCCTATGTTTTGTAGGAATACCACTAGGACCTGGTTGCAGCTCTGCTTGTTTTTCTCACTAAAAACCTTTCCATTGAGACTTGTTTTTCCCTACATTGCAACACTTGTCTGTAGTGAGGGCATCACAGTGTCATTAAAAATGTTAAGGCAACGGCCTACTACAGCTTGCTCTGGGCGAGTCGTTACAACTAAAGTTTGCATTTCTTCCCATAGTCTACACCACTTCTTAATTGTTGAGGAAGGGACATTCTCTACTGCCTCCTCCTCTCCTGAAGACATTGACATCATTGACAGACTTCTCTCCTCAGCTGCCTCTTGTTGCTGCTCCTTGTGAAGGGCTAGAAGTTCTTTGGTGGTCAGTTCTTCGCTGTGTTCCTCCACCAATTCACAACACACAACACTCAACTCTCACAACACTGTGAATGCCACTTCCTTTTCTAAATTTCTCAAACCATCCACTGCTCACCTTAAACTCTTTCATATCTGCATCAATTGTTCCATGGGTTTTCCTTAAATGCTCTTTATGCAATAGCATTACTTTTTCACAAATGATGGCCTCTGAAATGCTATCACCCTCTAACTCCTTGTTGTGTATCCAAATAAATAACAACTTTTCAACATCCTCAAGTGTTTGTGTTCTTTGTTTCGTGATGTTGATACACCTTTTGCCACTTTAACACTCGTAATGTCCTTTTTCTTAGCAATTATAGTGCATATCATTGACACATTTGTTGCCTAGCTAGTTCAACAACCCATGTACCATTTTCATGTTTACGAATGATCTCTTGTTTTTGTTCTAAAAACAAGTGTCTTTAGACAGATTTTTAGTGAGACAAATAAGCAGTGAGCCACAACCAGGTCCTAGTGGTATGCAGGCAAAATGTAGGAGAGAGAGTACTCCAGAAATGTCTTCACTGCCTGATGTTATAATATAAGGAGACTCCCCTTCCAAACACTAACACTTCCATATGCCAACAAGATCCTCAATAAAGGCAAGATAGACTTGTACATACTGTAGTACAAAATATGAGTAGTATTATGTATAAAATGTATTTTTATATTAATATTTTTGGGTGTGTGGACCCCAAAAATATTAACGGTGGTGGTGAAAGGGAACAGCCTACCTGAGGGGTCAACAGCCAAAGCTCAGCAAAAGCGAGAATGACGATGCTGCAGAGACCTTGCAAGGTAGCAAAGGCAGTAACAATTCTGATGATCCTGTAGTGACAAAATGCTGGTTTCAACTTTGAAGCTCTATAGGGAATGAATGAAAAACACCAGAGCTGAGGAGTGCTTTTGATTTGCCCTGTACAGTGACCTGCACCCAGCACAGTGCAGCACCAGAGCTGCATTGTGCTGGGTGCAGAGCATCAAGACTATGAACGGTGGAAGGAGTGGCAGTCATAGACAGGACAGCCATAATGCATGAGAGAGGAGTGTGCGTCTGTCAGCTTCCCAGTAAGTACTGGACAAGACTCGAAGTAATACCTGGATAAGGGGCCTTAGAGCATTCAACTTGGAGGTAAGAGATATGGGTGGACCAAGACAAACAAGTGTCAAAGATTTAAGATTGCCCAAAAGTTTAGTAGAATCTTCATAGAGAAGGGGACTAACATAGTGACAATGGGGCAACGAAGAATAACCTACAGTATTTCCAAGTAAAAACTTTATCATAAATCTTAGACGTAAAAAAAAACTTGAAGTTAGGTACAGCCAATTCTGCTACTGAGACATAGGAGGGAGAAACCAAGATGGAAGAGAAAGTTGGGGGAAGGACAGAAGCCTACTTACCCACTGGGAAAGAAGAGGAAGAGGAACCAGGTTTCCATTTCTGACTGGCACACAAGTGTGCCAATAGCAACATACTGTGCAATGGCCTCCATAGTTTCAGTCAAAGAGGGAGAATGAGAGCAGATGACTAGGATGAAGGACAACTGTGGGGAGGGCCAAAAGAAAGAAAAAAGTAATCAAAAAGTGAAGGAGGGCACAGAGAAAAGAGGAGGAGGAAGTAGAGAAGCATTACTAACCAGGTGAGCAAGAGACTAGTGGAAAGGAAGGTTGGAAACTATGGTCAGAGAGCTGAGAGGAACACTTGTGGTGATAGATCGGAAAGGAGCGGAAGAAGGGAAGCTGGTGGTGTCAGGGTTTAAGGTTTGGAATACTTGTACTGTATAGTGAATGGTCAAGTGTAACTTTTTTAATGTTGTAAAGATTTGTCTGTACACTACTACTATTCTGTGCTGATACCTTTCCACCCAATGAAAGTGGGAATTGTGATGATGATAATTACAATAATAATGCTGATGAGAATTTGCCTCTTAAACCCTACAGTGGACAGAACTTTCCTCTTGAACCTTGTGGTGGACAGAAATATTTACTTTAATCTGAGTTTGGACACTCAAGTGACAAGACACATTTGTTGAGGATAGCACATTATTTCCACACGAAAAACTTAAAATGCAGGATAACTTGGTGCAGCTTATATTTATGGAAGTGGGGTAATTTAAATTTGCAATTGTATGAAAGTTTTAGTGATCACTGCATAAAACCTGTAAATGAAGGTAAGGCAAGGTAATTATGAGAAGAAAGTCCTATACCAGTAGCCCTATACAGCACTTGAAAGGGATTTGAGGAAAAGGAACTAGGATATGAGGACAATGAGCTAGGCTATGAGGACAGCGATTAAGTGGTACTTTTAAAACTAATATTTTCTCTACATTTGCTTTACCATTTAAATTTTTAATCATGTAGCTTTATCGTATGTTATAATATATTTGATCTTTATTTCCCAAATTGATAATTAGTGTCTTATGCTATCTTTTCTCCACAGGCTATTGAAGAGGTGTATGTGGATCACCTACATTCTGTTAAATCTCCAAACCCCAAATTGACTTTCTGTGTCAAAACCTACGAGCGAACGTTCCACTTGATGGCTCCTTCCCCAGAAGCTATGCGCATCTGGATTGACATAATTTTTACTGGAGCAGAGGGTTATCAAGAATTCCAAGGAGGAACCTGAGATTAAGAAATAATCCTTTGGCAGAATGTTCATCTGCTCTGTACTTTGGGGGCTTCCTCTTGGATGCACAGTTTTGTTCAATTTGACAGGTATTAATAATTATAGCAAAAACCTGATCTTTGACTTAACATGCCTTGGTTTGAGCTATAATCACCTGTCTGTTGAGGCAGATAGTGATGTGCACCTGTAAGGTCACGTCCTAAACTGTTTAGTTAACTAATCGGGAGATTTCCTTACCAAATGACTTGGTTTGGATTCTCTGTTTTATAATCTGTACATTTATGTATAGGTATAATCGATTCTTTCAGAATTTGGACCATGCTCGCCAAATCCTACTTTTTGGCCAAAGAATGGCTCGGTAAATATTTTTTTAAATTATTTCTTATACTACTGTACAATTTTTAATGTACTATGAAACACATTATTGTGCCTTCATGATTTTATACTAAGTTTCCTGTGATCCATGAAAAGGATTTTTATACGCTCAATATTTCATACAGACTTGAATAATGTGAAAATGACTACTAATCTGTATTGCCTCAATTTTTTTTTAACAGAAAAGGTCTGTTTTATATTTTCCAAGGCAGTCTACAGATCAATTCTTAATTCTATATATTTAAAAGTGTCTTCCTGGAGACATGTCAGTCCGTTTTATCACGTACTATACCTTCTTACAGTTTAATTGTATTAAGCAAATATTTGATATACAGTATTTTGCTTTGGTTTAAAGAGCTGCAGTCATATTTCATTATGATAAAAGTTTTTACACAAGTAATGAGAAGAAAAGGTTGTTTGCAGGCGAGAATGTCGGGCAGGACAGTATGGCACAATACAAATATGAAAGAGTTATTCCTGTATTTATTTTTGTAGGATACTCATTAACTGGGACATGATTATTTTTAGGTGTATTCACCATGTAATTTTAGCAACTTAATAAGTTTCATGTACGGCAGGCTAGGTAATGTGTAGGTGCATGTTACACAAAATGAACAATATTGTATGCTATCAGAAATTTTTAACAATTATTGTAGAGCTATGTAATATCGGAGCTGCAGCTATAAGTGGCTTACTGTAATACAAAGTGCCGATCACCACTTCTGTAAACAAATTTGCATCCCACTTTTCATAAAGGAGCCCCACTTGCTACAAATGAAAACTTTCATGAATTTGCTATTTTCAAATTATTGCTTAATAGAAGCGCTTGATGACAATGTTTTATAATTTTGTTGTCTGCTTTCTTATAATAATAACCAGTTGGTTAAATAGGGTTATCGTTAGCATACAAATGGAGACGATTCCTCAAGACATTGTAACCCCTTCAATATCAATATATTTTTATGTTGTGATGTGCTTATTTTATTTATGCCTTTCATGTGTATATTTGACAGCTTTTAAAATCGAACAAGTCAGCAGCATGTGATTATGTAAACTGTAGAAGAAGACAACATTAACAAAGTAATCAATCGAAGTGACAAAGCTCGAGGCACAAAAGCAACCCGTTCTCGCACTTTCTTACAGTCAATATTGACTTATTAAATATGTGCATATGTGACATACTAAACATATTAGTTTACCTTGAAAAGCTTCATAAAAAACACTGACCTTACCTAACCTTCTTAGTATGTTAAGATAAGCATCTTATTGCTTCGTAATTACAATTATTACTTTACCTATAATAGGTATACCTGTAATAGGTATATCTATAATAGGTATACCTATAATAGGTATACCTGTAATAGGTATACCTGTAATAGGTATATCTATAATAGGTATACCTGTAATAGGTATACCTATAATAGGTATACCTATAATAGGTATACCTGTAATAGGTATACCTATAATAGGTATACCTATAATAGGTATACCTATAATAGGTATACCTATAATATGTATACCTGTAATAGGTATACCTGTAATAGGTATACCAATAATAGGTATACCAATAATAGGTATACCTATAATAGGTATACCTATAATAGGTATACCTATAATAGGTATACCTGTAATAGGTATACCTATAATAGGTTAAGTAATAATTGTAATTACGAAGCAATAAGATGCTTATCTTAACACTTTGGCGCACATACTACACATACTAAGGAGGTTAGGTAAGGTCAATGTTTTCTATGATGCTTTTTAGGGTAAACTAATATGCTTAGTATGTCACATATGCACGTATTTAATAAGTCAATATTGACTATACAAAAGTGTGAGAACGGGTTGACAAAAGACACGGCCAGAGCTCCCAATCCAATGTCCCAGCTTACAGAAACTGGTGTTCAGGTTGTGACGGTAACGCGTTGGTGTTCGGCTGTTTAAGGCTAGGGGTATGGCCTCGTCACATAGTTATAAAAAAAAATAGAAAAACTGGAACTTCGTCTGTGGTAAGGTAAGGAGAAGACACACAAAACACAAGTAAAACTTTAACAATGAAATTTTAATTACGTTAAATAAATCAAAACATGAAAATATGGACAAACAAATATGTATAATAAAATCAATGAATCAAAATAATAAGAATACTTAAATGACACAATGAAAGTTACGTTAAGGCAAAATAATAAGAAGTGCAACACAAAAGTTAAGTGGGAGGTGCTGGAATATTGGCTTAAAGCCACCACCTCTCTCAGTACACTCTAGAGTCTAGCTGGGAGGTGTGCTGGCTACGAAAGCACGGAACATTCTGAGGACTGATGTTGGGGCGACCCCAGACATCAGGTAGTATTGGGGGGGGGGGGCGAGGCAGGTGCAGCCAGACCGGCGACCAATCAGCGGAGTCGTAGCGATCAACGGGTAGTTTGGTGGTTGGAGTTCGAACAGGTGGCTGGTTGCATACGTTTCTGCTCACCCTGGCAAGCCTTGCTGGTGTTTGTTGTCGTTGTTGGACATTTCTTCCATAGTCTTTTATATAGTTGTGAAGACGTAATTATGAAGGGAAGAGCAGGCTCAATCTCTTGAAGGAGATTATCGTCACAAGGTCAAATTAAAATAAGACAAGGCACATCTGAGAAACCTAAAACCAAGAAACCCCAATTGCTATAGTTATGCAGATTGAAAGGCCAAAGGCACACAGCATGAATGGCTCAGGATACATTGGGTAAAACTCGAGGCAGTTTGAAAAGCCTAGGGTACATCACCTAAAAGACCAAGAGCTACTGGCCCTATAACTGCAACATACTGCCTAAAGGTGGAACAGCATCTGAAGCACAAAATAACTGGTAGTCCATTCCTGGGGCAAGAAGAAAATGGGGTGCACAGCCCTAGAATTACTGTGTAAGGCAAAACAGGTCAGGGATGCCAAAGCAGATAGCTTGGGAGCTCAGAGAACATTGCCTGGAGGGCCTAGAGATTGGAGTACACAGACCAGTACTCGCCCAATTGTGCTTGCAGTGGTTGAGTTTCCGCTCTCTGGATCCACCTTCCGACTGTCAATCAACGAATAGATGCAAACTTTTGCTTAAAGCTATTCTGAAGGTGGATGAACTTTTCTAATATGATCAAAGAACTCTGACAATGGTCTAAAGCATCCTGTTGCCTACACTATCAAAGCTAACTTGTTTAAACTTATGTTCAAGAAGGATAAATAAACTTTGCATTAAAATAGTGGTATCCGTTTTCGAATTTAATCCATTCCCAGAGATGGTTCGAAAACAAACAAATTTTCCCATAAGAAATAATGTAAATTTAATTAATCCGTTCTGCACCCCCAAAAATATTAACTTAAAAATACATTTTATACATACTACTACTGTACAATACTTATATTTTGTACTACAGAATGTACAAGTACATCTTAGCTTTACTGAGGAATCTTGTTGGTGTATGGAAGACAGTGAGGAATGGGAAAGGAGGAGAGATGTTAGTGTTTGGAAGGGGAGTCCCCTTCCACATCAGGCAGTGAGGACTTCTCTGGTGTACACTCTCTGGCACATTTTGCCTGCATACCACTAGGATCTGCTTGTGGCTCACTGCTTGTTTGTCTTACTAAGAATCTGTCTAAAGACACTTGTTTTTCCCTACATTTTAACACTTGTCTATAGTAAGACATCACATTATCATTTAAAAGGTCAATGCAACGGCCTGCTACAGATTTATCTGGGCGAGTTTTTTCAGCAAAACTTTGCAGTTCTTCCCATACTTCACACATTTTCTTAATGAGGAAGGGACATCCTCTACTCACAACTATTTTCTTAGGTTGAACCTTACCACTGGCTTTCTTTGGACCCACTGCGAGATATATAATAACTTTTATGTTCAAATGGCTAAATATCCAACAAAACACTGTAAATCCTGTTGAACAATTGAGGCGGGATAGTCACATGGCGTGAGGCATTGGTAAACTGAGCGGCGATCGCCGTGCCACCACGTGCTAGTCGGCCCGTACGCGTATCAACACCCTCGTATCCTGAGGCAACCCTCATATCCCGATACAAATTTTCCAAGTAAATCCTGTTCGTAACCCAAAAAACTCATAACCATGGGTGCTCGTAAGCCAAGGTACCACTGTATATTTTCTCAATCTTTGGCGACTTTGTTTACATTTATTAAGCAATTTATTCTAAGCACTTGGAGGCTGGTTATAACAACATTTGATTGGGAAGTTTCAATGCTTGTAAACTGTTTAATAAATGTAAACAAGGTCGCCAAATATTGAGAAAAGATGTACAGATTCAAAAGTAATAGAGTAAATGCTTGACGAATCCTGGCCCTTAGCTATTTATACACTAGCCCGTCGTAAAATATAAGATGGGATAAACAGAATGTATCTTTAATATGAAAATTACGTGTGTATATGACTACCAAGATAGATGTACAAAACTTTGGTTTACCATACTATATGTGAAATATTTCCATTTTATTTGTGTTGCTCAAGAACTCTTATTAGATGACGTTTGGTTGAATAAGGTTAAATTAGGATAAGATAGGTCTGGATAAGTTGAGTTTAGTTAGTCTACGTTAGGTTTGCTAAGGCGTTGTGGTTCGGGTAGCTAATTCACCACCACAACAATAAACAACATTTTCTGTAATATATCTGTGTAACACAGCAATGATCAAAGCTATCACAAGACAAGTCTGGTCCCATGCCAGACTTGGGAAGAACTCTCAGAACCCATACCAGGTAAACCATTCCAGTAGCCATGACGTCATTTAGATCTAAGATTTAGCCACTATGCCCTATGTAAATACATGCAATTTGTTTCATATCCACACTAATCCAACAAAAGAAATTTATATATCAGGTACTACAGCCACTTTTAAAACCTTTGACAAGAAAGATTAAAGAACATTATACCCAAACAAACTCATTTAAATATATGTCCAACCTTCCCTTGAAACAATGTAGAGATCCCAAATCTATTATGTTACCCAGTAATTTGTTTTATAAATCAACAACTATATTTACAAACCAATATTTGCCTGGGTCTTTACTGAATCTAAACTTTCCAATTGGTTGTTTTCTAATAATTGTTTTATCCTGTGTTTTTTGCTCTATTTTTATAGGATATGCAAAGTCTTGGTATATACAACAGTCTGAATTTACTTGTACTGATGTAATATAATTTGCTTTCATTAACTGCAAACCAATAATCATAATTTATATTAACTTATTTTCCCTTACAAAACTAACACATAACGCACAGAAATTTAGCATTACTGTACCTCATTCCATATTTGACCAACCTTCAGACCAGGTTATACAAATTCAGTACGACAAATTAGGTCCGTAAGAATCCTGTCATTTAGTCTATAAAAGGAAAGGCAGTCACTTGGAGGAAAGGGTTGGGGAGAGGGATGATCCTTACAGCAGTATGGCCATTCCACACACAGCTCAACCTGGAATACTCAATCAACACCCTGTAACCCTGACACTTCATTCATCAGTCATCCTTTCTTATCCTCGGAAATTCCAGTGTGGCTAACAATGCCTCCACACTACAGAATGAAATATTCACTCAAACTGTCCCTTGAATGTGCATATGACAGCAATAATAATAATAATGCAATGATTAATACTAAAACATACTTTAAAATCCAAAGTCATCAGATAATTTAAACTTGATCACCAAACTTGTATTGAATCTTCAGTTACTGTACTAAGAATAATAATTAACCATTTTCTGCGAAGATGAAATGCTTGCTTGATAAAAAGTGTTATTCAGTTCAAAACCTCTACCAGACAAATATTTTAAGTAAAACCGAAGATATTTGTAGTTGTATAAAAGTGGCAGTTTTCATCGCTCATCAAACTCGAAAACCGCAGCATTCATCTCAGAACCATGCCTATTTCACGCAGATTCCTTAATAAACGTAAGAGTTTTATATGTCACAAGAAAGACAGATATAT